TCCAGGTCGGGCGGGCGCACGCGGAGCACGCGAGCGCCACGCAGGCGAACCTCTTACAGCAACTCATCACATTCAAGCAAGGCGTACACCGCTTCTGGCTCGCACCCGCCTGCAGAACAGGCATGCACAGGATGTAAGCATGCAGGAGATCTGGGGGCAACCGAGTTTGAGTGGGGCACGCGAGCGCCATGAAGGAGGAGTCGGAGCGGGAGAGAGAGAGAGAGAGCGAGGGCGGTTGGACGCAGAGGGGGCGGGGGAGGCCCGACGCACGCGGGCGGCGGGCGCACAGTTCGGACCGCATGCGCTTCGAGCATTTCCCACCTGCGCGGGTAGTAGTAGTGCAAGCCAGGACGAGAATCAAATCAGGTGAGAATATATCGAGAATCTTTGAGACCTGGCAATTCAGGAAAATCTGTTGGGCGCCGCGACCTTGCCAGAGTTTTTGCGGACCGCTCTGAAAACCCTCTGGAACGGATGTCTCCTCGTCCTAGCCCCGCCCGGTAGTGCTCACTCTCCCCTTTCTTCCCCAAGCTTCGAGCGCGTTGGTGCTGGCCGGTTTCTACTACAGATACAATCCAAGGCTTCCTCGGGAAATATCGCATCACCACACACGGATGCGATTGGTCTACATACCGTCCACCCCGCACGCGTGCGGGTGCGCACTTCGACATGGCATGCCGCCACGGAACAATATGCTCGCCGTGCTCACTCTCCGCCTCTTCCTCCTCCTCCTCCTCCTCCTCTTTCTGGTCCTTCTCCTCCTCCTCCTCCTCCTCCTCCTCCTCCTCCGTGTCTCTGCTCCTTCTCCGCGCATCGAAGAGTGCCCAAGATCGGACGCACGCCAACATGGATTACGGACGCGTCGGATGCACAGATCGGGGAAGGTTCCCCCGAGAAATAAGGCCAGTGCCGCCTGACTTGGCGACAGCACGCGCCGATTTCTTGCAGAAACGGGACCCGCCACTACTCCGCGCGCATTCGTCCAGGTTTGCGCCTCCTCCATCATGGTGTTCACTCTCCTCCTGCGCCACCTCGAAGCTGCCCAAGATCATCTGGACGTGCACGCTTGGAAACGTTTGCTGCCCCCCAACGCCGCCGCGCGTCGGGCCCGCACCAGCCTGCGTGCCGACGAACGGTGGAAATTTTGTGGCTGGCTCGGTACGCACCCGACGCGGCCTCGGCGCCGACGGCTCAGCGCCAGGAAGGCGCTGCATCTGCCCGTCACCGCGCGGATCTCGGGTGCGCCGAAGAGCGGGGCCCTGGAGAGGGGAGCTGGCACACCATGGCCCGCGCTGTTTTGCTCAAGCTCGGCTGCCGCTGAAGCTCACGGGAGCTCGTTGCCCCGGGGTCGCACTTCAAGGGGCACCATGGCCAGAGTGCCCGGACGCGGGGGGGGGGGGCCAGGGAACGTATGCTCCCAACGGCAGCGAAGCCTTGACACCCTGCTCCCTCCTGGGAGGGGGGCAATGGAACGGGTGATGGCGCATCATAGCCTGAGGCATGTGAAAGGACGAGGGGGCGGCAAGAAAAAATGGGAAGTCCGTGAAATGTCATGGCCCCAGTCATGATCTCCACACACCAGTCTTTGCCCCCTTCTTGGACGCCCCTGAATCTTGAGTGAGCACAGAAGCGGCCCAATGCGGACCCAGCACACCCAGTAGAAAGCCCCAGGGCTCCAAAACCCATTGTCGAAGCTGGAAACAGGACCCGAAGGCGGCCCGAACACCCCCAGCAAACTCCGAAGAGACCCCCGAAGATCAAAGGTGCCCTCCACTACGCCCATGTGATGTCCCAAACCTTTGACGTAACATGTTGTGGCCCTCGAGGCCACATGGAAATCAAGCGTCAAGTGGTACGGCCTTCCCTCCACCAGGGCAGCGGCACTTACTTCTACGAAGGGTGCCACACGTGAGTGACCGTATGGCCCCTGCGATACCCTGAAGAGTGCAAAAATCACATGATGCGGCCCTCTCGAACCCACGGAACAGCGTGTCAAGGCCACCTGGCGCCCGATGCCTCAAACCTCGCCAACGTAGCCGCAAGATACTCACATGGAGGACCGCGGCCGGGGGCGTGGCCTTCAGGTCCACCGTCCACTGTGGCGTGTCCACAGAGATGCCTGGCGTGCCAGACTCGAGACACTTGATGTGGTTTTTGTTTTGAAAAAGTTTCTACAGGCCACTGGTCACATGCCGCCGATTGTTCACCCCGCCCCGTCGACCACGCAGCGCACACGGTCCAACGCCATGACGACCAAGATCGCTTCCTAAACTGCCTAAGTCGGTCCGAGACGGCATCCGAAGCGTTTCCCAGACTGCCAAGATGGTCCGCACTGGTCCAGCCTGGCCCCAACGGCGCCCAAGAGGCGGCAACGGGCACATTTAACGCCACCTTCGGGGCCCCTAGGTTCAGCACAAGAGGCCAACATCACTGACAAACGCACGGCAAGCTGGTGTCGTCACGACCTCGGCGCCAGTTTCTGATACCGCGTGGATCGTTCAACCTTGAACGATGGGCGGCTCTTCGATCGCCAGATCGTTCCCCGCTGGACGATTCTGGGCCGCCAGCGGCGTTCAACCTTGAACACCCGTGGCGGGGTCGCTGACGCGTCGACACCTATCGTAGCTCGGCTTAGTGGTACGCACTTTCTCTCTCGCCGTTTCTGTCTCAAGAGTGTTCGAGACGGCCCGAGAGGGGCCCCAGAGGGCCCCCAAGAGGGAAAGCCCCAGGACGGCCCAAGATAGCCCAAACAGAACCCAGAAAAGGGCCCGCCGAGGGCTCAGAGAGGCCCCCGAGACAGCGCCCGAAGGCGCCGGACGGCCCAAAGGCGCCTAGCCCGCAGATGGCCTAAGAGGGAGGCGCCCAACAATGCCCCGAAGAGGGCCTGGAGAGGGCCCCGAAACACCCCCAAGACGGCCCCAGGCGGGCCCCTCCAAAAGCTGATCTAGATGAGCCTTCGAAGTTTCTTTCAGCGTCGACTCTCGGCCACCAGCGCTTCGCGTCGAAACAGGTCCTGCGCATTTGTGCCCCTTGCTCTCCACTGGTCGATGCGGCCACAGGTGGGGGGAACACGGCCGCGAGATGCCATCGTGCTACTTGCCACTTCCACTATCACTATGCATTGCTAAACGCTGCTCCGCAAGCGCCTGCGCATCATGCCGATGCTCCAGGCGTCGCTGGCCACAGTGGGCGTATCGACACAGACTGCGGCGGCGGCGTAACTCGCCGGAGACGCCTGCGATACACCCTGTCTCTCTGCGCACAGCTGGACGCACCGCAAGGCAGAAGCCTACGAGCGCGCCGATCTTTCATCGCGGGGCCACGGGCACCTCGCGCGCCCGCCCACACTCTAGCTCTCTCTCTCTCTCTCACTCATTCTCTCTCTCTCTCACTCTATGTCTCCCTGACTCTCTCCGTATCCCTCTCTCTCTCAGATCTCTGCTTGCCTCATCTCACAGCCTCTCTACTGCACCCCCCAGCTCCCTGGAGGAGCAAGCGAGCACCCCCCATCCTCACCTGGCCCCCCTCCCCAAGATCGGGGAGACGTAAGACTCGGGTTCGGGAGACTCGGGTTGGCCTCACGGGGCCATCATAAAATGACGAGAATCCAATCTAAAATTTGACGCGAGCTCTCGCTGCAGACATCACACGAAGACTACAATCCAAATCCAGGACGCGCTCGTAAAGAAAGTCGGCAAACCCGAGTTCCAGCGTACTCGAGTCTTACGTTTAAGTCGGGCCTGTCCCCCTACAGGGGGATTTTCGACGAGAACTAAAAAACACCCCCAAAAAAATCAAAAAGTAGTCAAAAAATAGTCTGGGGACTATGTTTCAAGTATATTTTGACTTTTGGGTGGATGTGTTGAGGTATCTTTTATGTTTCGTCGAAAGCCCCCCTGTAGGGGGACAGGCCCGACTTCACCTTACGTCTCCCCGACAGGAGGGGGAAGAGCCAGGCGGGTGCGGGGTATGCCTCGCGCGCCCGCTTCACAAGACGCCCTCGAAACCGGGAGAGCCGGGGAGCTCTCCGGCCGAGCTGCAGCGGAGGGAAGGGGGGGGGGCAGGTGGGGGCGGAGGCGCGCTTCCTCGCCCCACCCTCTCCCCCCCCCGAGATCACCCAAGGTCGAATCGGACGGACAGGACGACAGTCGAAGTGCGTCGGGTCGACAGAAATCGGCAGGCAGATCGAGCGGCACCGAAATGGACGCCCGACGGTCCGAGCCGAGGCCTGCACAAAGAAACCGAAACCGAAGTCGGAACTCGAAACCGAATCAAAATCGAAATCCTCAAAATCGGATCGATTCGAACCGAAATCGAAATCGAAATCGATGTCCTCAAAATCGAACGGGTTCGACTCGAAATGGGCCCTACCCCCTCCCCGCCCCGCGGACCTTCTGCTCCTTCAGCCACTGCCCAAGCGTCCTCTTGGCGGTGTAGTGCGACCCAGCCTCAGCCCGCGGGAGGCAGCGGCAATGGCCCCGGCGCATCCCGCGCCGAGAGCGGGGTGGAGGACAGGAAGAAAGAGGAGGGGAATGTGGGAGAAAAACGAGGGAGGAGAGAGGAGAGAGGAGAGACGAGAAGGGATGGAGGAGGAACGCGAGAAGAGGAGGGAGGAGGAGGGGGGGAAAGGAGGAGGCGGGAAGGGAGGGCGGAGAGAAGTGGAGGGACGAGTACGGGGAAGGAGGAGGAGGAGCAGGAGGGGGCGAGAAAAGGTGAGAGATGAGAAGGACTGTGAGAGATGAGAAGGACTAGGAGGAGGAGGAGGAGGAGGAGGAGGAGGAGGAGGAAAAGGAGGAGGAAGAGGAAGAGGAGGAGAAGGAGGAGGAGGAGAAGGGGAAGGAGGAGGAGGAACCAAACGCAGAGACGCCAGGGGCACGGGAGGGGGGCGGGGCCCAGCGCTCCCCACCCGCCGCCGCCGCCGCCGCCTGCAGGCTGCCTGCAGGCTGGCTGGCCCTCCCCTCCTCGTCCCCGCCGGCGCCCCGTCCTCTGGCGCCCGCCTCCCCGCCAGCCCTGCCGCCCTAGACTCTGCGCTGCCACGACAACTTTCCACACGAGCCCCTGTCCCCGCACTGCGAGGCATGGAGCTGTCCTGCGGCGACAGCAGGCGACCACAACAACATCCAGCAAGGACACGCCCTCGGCGATGTCTTCCACATGCCAGCAATCGTGAGAACACCGGAGCCAGCTTAGTACTGGTTGTGGTCGATGTGGGCGTCCAGGATTGCCAGATCGACCACAACCACAACCGAAGTGGTCATGTCGAGATGGGTGGGTTCTCCCCCGAGGGGCCCTCCAGAAAAATCAAACTTCCTTGTGGTTATGGCTCTCTGTTGCAGCCCCGAGTCCACGGAGACACCCGGTCTTGGCTATGGTCCTGACCTTGAGCTGCCGCCGCTCGGGGTCGTCGTCTTCTCTCGACGGCGGGGACGTCGGGGGCGCCGCGGCGGCCCCTGCTCCCCCGACAGCCTCGGAGGACGACGACGACGACGACGATCAGGAGGAGGGCGAGGACGACGACAACGACGACGATCAGGAGGAGGGGGAGGACGACGACAACGACGACGATCAGAAGGAGGAGGAGGAGGAGGAGGAGGAGGACGAGGACACCCGCGGCGGCCCTTCCGCCCCGCCCGCCCGCTCGGGATCGCACACGAATGAAGAGACACAAATCCCAGGACTCCCCATATGTTCCAACACCCTGCGAATGCTCGGCTTCCCCTGCACTCCCTGATGCTGTTCCTTATACTTTCGAAGGAATGGACGTTTAGTTGTGTCCTTTCTCCCCTTCTGGACCAACCGGCATCCTCGCGTCGTGGGGTCCTCACGGCGGCAGGCTCTCGGCAAACCTCGGCCCCGAGGAGCCCTCGTCGGGCCCCTGATCGGGGGCCGCCAGCCAGAGCAGCCTGGGAGGATGGCGAGGCGGGCCCCGGGGGGAAGGGGTGCACGGGCCCATGGGTCGAAAGCTGGGCGAGGGCTGCTAAAACCGTGGCTGCCAAAACGGCCCTCCCGGAAAGAAAAGACAACTTCCCGGAATGAGGCGCGGCACGCGAAACTGTCAGCGGGCTTTTTCCCGCAAGGACGAAGACAACTTCCCGGAAGTCGATTTTAGCAGCCACGGATTTAGCAGCCCTTGCCCGGCTTCCGAATGGGCAGCCACGCCGTGAAGCAACAAACGCCTCGTCGGATGGTCTGGGGTGCTGCCACCCCCTTATCCCAGTACGTCTTGGACTTTCCGGGAATGGGCGCCGCAAGGCCGAGGCGCACTGGACATGGACAAAAGTCGAGCCTATGTAGGGGTGGAACTGTTCTCCATATCCAGTGCGTCTCGGGTCTCTAGGGAAGGGAGCCCGAGACTCCAAGCTGCAGTGGATATGGACGCAGGTCTTGCCCGCATGCCCCCCCTACCCCCACACTGAAGCCCCACGGCACAGAAGCTCTCGAGGAGCGCGCAGCGCGCATCCAGGGGCCCACCTCTGGACGCCAGAAGTGGGCACGGCAAACATGGGTACGATACCCAACAGCACATGCTGTCCAACATCGACAGCGGCTGCTGTGGGGCAGGCGGTCTCCTGTCGAATCTGGACGGACAAGGCCCGCGGCGGCACCGACAACAATTCCTGCTCAAAACGAACGAGGGCTGCCGTCGGTCTTCGTGCCTGTTCTCTCCGTACCCGTGTCGCTCGTGCCGACCACCCCCGACGATCGCCCAGGGCCCCGGCGGCGGCACGCGCCTCGCCCAGCTGCCCCCCTCCCTCCCTGCTCCCTCCGCTCGGGGGGAAGGGGAGGCGCGCGAGCACGGAGGGCGCTACGAGCGCTCGAGCCGGCCGGGGGGCGCAGCGCTCGAGCGTCACGAGCTCGCTCGAGCGCCACGAGTCGCGAGCGTCACGAGCGCCACGAGCCGCTCGTGAAGACCCGCACCCCCCCCCCCCAAGGAAGCCCCCCCTTGGAGACTGGAACCGCCCCTGGAGGAGCAGCCCTCGGCACGCGCGCGGCCGCCTCGGGGCGAGAGAGGACCAAGGGCAGCGCGGGCGCGGCCCGAGAGGGAACGGGCACCCAACGACACGGGAGGGCTGAGGAGGCGGCAAACTCAAGAGGAGGTCTGAAGCCTGCGCCCCCCTCGGGCGATCCCCGCGCGCGAACGCTGGGGAGCGCGCGAAGGAGTAGTCGGAGACGACCATCGCCTGAGGGCGTGCGGAAGGGGGGAGGTGGAGGGGCAGGGGAAGGTGGAGTAGAGGAAGGGGAGAAGGGAGGGGGGAGGGTAGCGGGGAGGGGATGGGGAATGGAGGGGGGGGGAGAGAGGGAGGGAGGGAGCTGGGGAGGGGCAGGAGGGGGGAAAGGCGAGGGGAAGGTGGAGGAGGAGGAGCGGGATGATGATGGTGATGATGATGATGATGATGATGAGGAGGAGGAGGAGGAGGGAGGAGGAGGAGGAGGAGAGGGAGAAGGAGGAGGAGGAGGAGGAGGAGGGGGAGAAGGAGGAGGAAGAGGAGGAGGAGGAAAAGGAGGACCACGACACCGTACATCTCCACCCTGCAGGAGACTGCAGCGGTGTCTTCCTCATGTCCTTCTCCTCCTCATCGTCCTCCTCCTCCACCTCTTCCTGTCCGAAGAACCAACACCAAGTGGAGCGGGCAGAGGATGAAAAACATATCCTTGCCCCAGTCCTCCCCTTCCTCCTCCTCCTTCTCCTCCTCCTGCGCCTCCTCCTCCTCCTCCTCCTCCTCCCTCCCTCCTCCTCCCTCCTCCTGCACCTCCTCCTCCTCCTCCTCCTCATCCTCCTTGTAATCATCAGCATCATCATCCTCATCATCATCATCAGCAGCAGCATCATCATCTTCAGCATCATCCGCATCATCATCAGCAGCAGCATCAGCATCATCACAATCATCAGCAGCAGCATCATCATCACCATCATCAGAGGCGGCAGCGTCATCAGCATCGACATCATCAACATCATGATCATCATCAGCAGCATAATCAGCATCAACAGCATCATAATTATCATCATCAGCATCGTCACCATCATCACCAGCATCATCAGCATCTGCATCATCATCGTCATCGTCATCATCATCAGCAGCAGCAGCATCTTCCTCATCGTGTTCCTGATCCTCCTCCTCCTTCTCCTCCTCCTCCTCCTCCCGATGCTCGCCTTCATCATCATCCTCATCCTGCACCTGCTCCTCCTCATCCTCATCCTGCGTATCTACCTCAGCCTCCTCTCTTGCAGCTGCTGCTGCTGCTCCTCCAAGGGAGAGAGAGCGAGAGAGAAAGAGAGAGAGGGGAACACAACACTAGAAAGGGAGACGGGTGTGTGTACAGTCTCTCTACGTTCACAACGAAAGCCGAATACGGAACGGAGGGGCCTTGTCTGATCACGGCGCGACTCGGCAACTTAAAAGCTCAAACACCTAGATCTGATGAACGGCCCGAAAACCAAAGACATTCATCAACACAACACTGTATGTATGCTAACGTATTGGCTACACATATCCATGTATAAATGAATAGACGCACATCGTACACACGTGTATACATGTATAGGTACGTGAAGGTAGGTTCGTATATACACATCCATGTATTAAGAGATCCACCGCCGTACCCCGAGGCACGACAGGAAGTGCCGTCAGGATATTTAGAAACTTCTGCAGTGGGAGTTGCAAAACCACTCTTGAACGGGTTCACACCCCAGGGCTCCAGGCGCTGATGTGCGCTCCTGGGGCTCCCCGTATGTCCCCGCGTGTCTGTGCCAGAGGCAGGAGGCTCAAGACGGTCCAGGAGTGCCACGTGTCGCCCAAAGATCGTTCCAAGACGCCCAGGACAGTCTGAAGACGGCGCCAGAAGCCCCCCAGACACCTCAAGCGAGCCCGAAGGGCACTCACAGCAGGGTCCCCAGAAACCAACATCACATCATGCCCTTGAGTTTTGATTAAAGGACTTCAACGCTCTCTCGCCTGTTCGGGCTCCCGGCTTTTCAAGACGGCCCAAGAGGTCCCCAAGATCGCCCCAAGACGAGCCAAGAGACCCCAAAGAGGGCCCCAAAACCCTGGCGGGCAAAGGGCTGGACCGCCCATGGCACGGGCTCCAAGAGAAACAGATCTTGGATCCCGAGAGGGGCGCTCCCCAGGACCAACTTTTCGATCTGAAGATCGTCTTTCCCAGGGCAGACGAAAACCCTGGGAGGCCGGGAACGGCAAAAAGGCAAGATCCCCGATTCCTCTGGAATGGTCAGTTGGCGCAAGGTCTCCGCTGTACGAGGTCCGGGGGAAGTCTGGGAAGTCTGGGAAAATTCAGGAAGCGTATGGGTAGGAACGCCTGGGGGATGGGCAGGTTGAACAAACATCAATCGCAATTCCACCGTGCGAGCCCATCAGCGGGTTACTGCCGACGAGAAGCAGCGCAAATCTTCTGACAAGAGCAAGACCATGATACGCCGACGGGCTCGCAACGGCGGCGTGCCATTGATGCTCCCCTCTCGAAAGAAGGCCCACGGCTGGAACAAGAACCTTGCGCAAACTTACCTTTAAGTTGGGCGTGTCCCCCTACAGGCCGATTTGGGGCGAAAAATAACAATACCCGAGACATGCAATCAACATTCACAAGAAATGTAAAAAAAAATGTCCCCCGACTATTTCCCAACCAGCCTGAGGTTTGGGTTCTCGTTTTGAAGAGACGGTCCCCGCGTTCCTCTCCTCTTCTCCTCCTCTTCCCCCTCCTCCTCCCTCCTCCCTCTTCCATGCGTTTCATCCACCCAGCACAGCGCTTCGTGGCCCCATAGGGAGCTCCACCAAAGGTCCCAGTGGCACCGCCCGCATGCGTCCGCCACCACCCAGCACAGCCCCTGCTCCCTGCGTTTCATCCACCCAATACAACGTGTCGTGGCCCCATACCGCACGTGTACGGTAGGGAGCTCCACCGAAGGTCCCAGTGGCACCGCCCGCATGCGTCCGCCAACCACCCAGCGCAGCCCTTGCTCCCTGCGTTTCGCCCACCCAATACAGCGTTTCGTGGCCCCATAGGGAACGCCACCGAAGGTCCCAGTGGCACCGCCCGCATGCGTCTGCCACCACCCAGCACAGCACTTGCTCCCTTCGTTTCACCCACCCAGTACAGCGCTTCGTGGCCCCCTTAGGGAACGCCACCGAAGGTCCCAGTGGCACCGCCCGCATGCGTCCGCCACCACCCAGCACAGCCCCTGCTCCGCTTCACCCACCCAGTACACCGCTTCGTGGCCCCATAGGGAGCTCCACCAAAGGTCCCAGTGGCACCGCCCGCATGCGTCCGCCACCACCCAGCACAGCCCCTGCTCCCTGCGTTTCACCCACCCAATACAACGTTTCGTGGCCCCATACCGCACGTGGCCCCATAGGGAGCTCTCCACCAAAGGTCCCAGTGGCACCGCCCGCATGCGTCCGCCAACCACCCAGCACAGCCCTTGCTCCCTGCGTTCCACCCACCCAATACAGCGCTTCGTGGCGCCATAGGGAACACCACCGAAGAAGATACTCACAATTGCGGTACTCACAACTGCATATGGTTGGGTCCTTCGCCAGGCTAATTTTTAACTATCTTTAATATTCCTCCTGTAGAGGGACAAGCCCGACTTATACTCACCGCTTGACGGTGACTGCGAGATGCAGTCGAAAAGCTCCACGGGATCCTCGGCCTCCGCCGCCGACTCAAACAGACGGCGCCGCTCGCGAAGGCCCTCCGCCGGGCGACCCCGCGCACCGCGCGTCAGGAGAACGCGTGGACCGTGGACTCGTAGACCGGGAAGACGACGGCGTTCATGACCACGCCGCGGAGCACAGCGATCCCGAGGCCCCTGCCAGGAGAAGCGAAAAGCTGCCGAGGTCCGCGCGGAGTTCTCGGGTCGGCGCTGGAGCCCCCTGCCCGCCCCCCTCCGCCCAGGTTTGCGAGGACGGCGGGGGGGCCCGGCGCAGACTCGAGCCCACGCGGACCCAACAAGTGCAAAGCTTCCAAACACACAAACACACACACACAACACACACAAACACACACAAGCACGCACACACAAACACACATACATACACACATACATGCATACATGCATGCATGCATGCATGCATGCATGCGTGCATGCATGCATACATACATACATGCATGCGTACATGTATACATGCATACATGCATGCATGCATACATACATATGTGCATGCATACACACATATATATGTGCATACATACATACATACATACATACATGCATACATACATACATCCATACATGAATACATACACACACATACATACATACATACATACATACATACATACATACATACATACATACATACATACATTCATACATACATACATACATACATACATACATACATACATACATACACACATACACGTACGTACGTACACACGTGTGTACGTACGTACATATAAACGTACATACATGCATACATACATACATGCATGCATACATGCATGCATGCATACATACATACATATACACATACATACATACATACGTATATACATACATACATACATACATACATACATACATACATACATACATACATACATACATACATACATACATACATACATGCATGCATGCATGCATGCATGCATGCATGCATGCATGCATGCATGCACACAGACAGACAGACAGACAGACAGACAGACAGACAGGCAGACAGACAGACAGACAGACAGACAGACAGACAGACAGACAGATAGCCAAACATGCATACACAGATTCCCCAGTCAGAGCTTGCCTCTGTAGGGGTCCTAGCGGATTCATATGGTTATGTTAGATTTGCCGCCGATTTTCGCCGTACGCCCGGGTGCCCGGTTGCCCGGGGGTGCCCGGGGCCCGGGTGCCCGGGGGGTGCCCGGGGGTGCCCGGGTGCCTGGGTGCCCGGGCGTGCCAGGGGGTGCCCGGGGGTGCCATATAGCCCTATAACCCTAAGCACTATATCCATATGGCCCTATAGCCCAATAGCCCAATAGCCCTGTAGCCCTACAACTCTATAGCCATATAGCTCTATAGCCCTATAGCTCAATAGCCCTATAGCCCCCTAGCCCTCTAGCCCTGATTGGGCTTTTCTCCGGTATCATGTCTAGATGCATTTGTATATACATGTGTGTGATCCAGGGCTCCCGGGCTCCCTTCCCTCGCATGCTGATGCCATCGGCCGCCCCCCCCTGGCGATGGCCTCCCCCCTGTGGGCCTTGTGGGGTCTTCCCCCGCGGGCGTGCGGTGGTGGGTATGGGGTCTGGCCCTCCCCCCCCCCATCAGGGAGGAGGAGGAGGAGGAGAACGACAACGACGACATCAGAGTCGGCATCGGCGTCGGCATCGGCACATACTTCGCCGTCCTAGACATGAAGTCCTCGTCGTCGTCGTCGTCGTCGTCTCCCCCCATCCCATCTGGGGGGGGTGGGCCGAGGGACCCTGAGACCCATCCCGTCCGGGGGTGGGGCTGTGGGCCCGGAACCCGGGATCATATGTCCGCCACCGTGCGTCTGGCACGAAGTGAAGTGCCGCAAGGCTCACAGCTTTGTTGCTGCTACAGCCAGTGGAATGATTTCTTCGTGGAGGCCCAGACCAAAATGCTCCCGGGCGCTCTTGGGCACGTCGAGCCCGTCCAGGGGTGTTCCCCGTGAGTTCTGGGGTGTTTCGCGTGGGCCTCAAGGACGGTGACCCTGTCGAGACTGAACCGTAAAAAAAACAGACTTCGTCAGAAGCGCCCAACCGGGTCAACGAGTGCCTTGGAAGGCTTCCAGACTGGCTATGATGCCCTCCAGATGGCTCAAGACGCGTCCAAGCGCTGCAGGAAGCTTCACAGGAGGGCCCCAAGAAGCAAACATCATTGATTTGTTCAGAAAGGTTATTGGTAGATTTTGGCGCTGTCGACTTCTCAGCTTCCCGACGCTCCAAGACGGCCTACGTCAGAGGCCCCGAAGATCGCCCCGAGACGGCCCAAGGGGCTCCGAGGGAACCCCAAGACCGCCCCAGAGGGCCCGAAGACGGCCCAAGAGGCCGCACAGACGGCCCAAGAGGCCCCCAAGACGGCTCCAAGCGGGGGCCCAAATGGGGGACCCAAACGGACATCTCGAGCCCTCGGCCCTGAGAGGTCCCCAGGAGGCCCCATGAGGCCCCCAAGAGACAAGAGGCCCCCCAGAGGCCCCAAGAGTCACCCGAGAAGCCACCAGGAAGCCCTGAGGCCCCAAAGAGGCTCCTAAGATGCCCCCAGGTGGCCTCAGAGGCCCCGAAACTGCCCTACGAGATGCCCCCGAGAGCGCTCAGAAGAGATCCCAAGAAGCATCCCTGAGGACTCTGACCCACAATCCAGGCACGGTGGCGGGATGGGCCGAAGGTCAGTGTGTGCATGCATACCTACACAAATACACACGATCATACATACACATATACATACATGCATAAATGCAGGCACACACACACATACATGTGTACATACATACATGCATACATACATACATACATACGTACATACATTACATTACATTACATTACATTACATTACATTACATTACATTACATTACATTACATTACATTACATTACATTACATTACATTATATTGCATTGTATTACATTACATTACATTACATTACATTAATACATACATACATACATACAGACAGGCAGACAAACAGACAGACAGACATGCATGCATACATGCATATACAACTACATATATACGTACATGCAAACATACATACATACCTACATACATGCATACATACACACATCCATCCATCCATCCATCCGTCCATCCATCCATCCATACATACATACATGCATACATACAGGCATGCATACATACATATGGTTATACCTCACATTCATGCATCCATGCATGTATGCCTGCGTGAATACCTATATGCATGCTTGTACGTGCATACATACACATATACACACATGCATACATACATACATTCATACATACATACATGCATACATATGTACATACATGTATACATACATACGTACACACATGCATACTCACATGCATACATGCAAGCCGTCCGTGCGTGCGTGCGTGCATACATGCATGCATGCATACATACATGTATACAGACATGCATGTCTACATACCGATATACATACATACATGCATACAAACGAATACATGCATGCGTACACTCATGCATACACGCATACATGCAGGCGTGCGTGCATGCATGCATACATGCATGCATGCAGACATGCATACACACACATATATATACATATAAATAAAAAAATAAATACATACGCATGACTACCTGCATACCGATATACATGCATACATACATGCAAACACACTGAACCATACATACAAACCTATTCATGCGTGCATGCAGACATACACACGTACATACATCCAAGCAGACATGCATACCTATGCACATGCATACATGATCACAAGCATACATGCATGTAAAACAATACACGAACACGTGCAATAATACATACATGCATGCATGCATACATGCATAGTTGCATACATCATACACAGATGCATGCATGCATGCATACATACATACATGAATGCATACATACGCTTGCATGCATGCATACATACATGTATACGTACATACACATAAACACCATACAAGCTCAAATTAAACAGACATGCATACACACATGAACGCATACATACATACACACATACATACATACATACATACATACATGCATACACGCATACATGCAAGAGGAAGGAGAGGAGTGTGAAACTGGAGACGAAGGAGAACCAGGAGCAGGACAGAGAGAGAGAGAGAGATAGAGCAAAACGAACGGACAGCGAGGGATGGAGGAATCGGAAACGCACTCTGGAGCATGTCAAATCCTGGGACAGGAGGGAACGGAGGGGGATGGGCGAACTTGGAAAAAAGGATTTGAAGGAATTCCCTTCTTTTATCTTCGCTCTGGAGGCCCCCGAGGGCACCCAAGATCGCCCCAAGAGGTCTCCAAGAGTCCCCCAAGAGTTCCGGGGAAGCCCTCGAGAAGCTCTAACATCATCGCAAAAGTTAAAGAAAATTGCGATATATTGGTGTTCTCGGATTTCCGGCCCTGACACGCTTCCGAGGCTCACGCATGCACGCCAAGAGACTTCCAAGATGCCCCCAAAGCTGCGTTCCGACCGGCTCTTGGGGGCATCTTGGAGCTCTCCTGGGGGCCTCTTGGAAGCTCTTGAGGGTCTATCGGGGCCCTCTTCGACGCTGGATGCGATGCCTCCGTGGCGGATCCTGGGAGCTCGTTGGGGCCTGCTCGGAGCGTCTTTGGGGCATCGGTGGTGCCCCTTCGGGCGTCATGGGAGCCTATGGTGGACACTTTGGGGTACTTCGCGCAGCTCGGGACAACTCTTGGTGTAAGACGAAGCCAGGATCGGGTCAAAATTTGACCGGGATAAAAATCATGCTCGGTTTTTTCAAATCACCGGGGGCGCCGCCGAACGGGCCTGCCACGCCTTGGGCGCCATCGGCTTCGCGAGGGAAAAAATGCGTCCTGGCGCGGATGAAGCCACGGCGCGTATTTGGCCACGCGCGCGCCCGAGGGAATTCAGCGCCAAGCGCCTTTCACTCCAGAAGACCCGACGTCGACAAAACAAACTGAAGGCCCCAAGGGGGCCCCAAGGAGGCGGACCGCCAAAACAATCACGCAACCAACGCAACGAAAAAAACACGAAAATATCAAAAAGCGCGTTGCTCAGTGACCTCTTCGGCCACGCAACACCGCGATAATGCCCAAGAAGGCATTGGGAAAAAAATCCCGCGCGCGGCCAGGCGACTTCCCCGCGCCGCCCCAAGGTTCCCGGAGCGCGCCGAAATATCCGTAGAGAGCACCCCGGAAAATCTTTGGAAAGTCCCCGCGCCATGCAAGATCCGCCACCGAACAATCTCGCGGACACCTAGCGCGTACGCGCGGGCGTCCACCATGGATGTCCAACTCCGGTTTCCGAGACAATCGCGCGCAACCGGCTGGGGGCCTCGGCAACCTCGCGATTGGCCCAGGGGCCCGCGGGCCCCAGGGAATCGAGGAGCGAGTTCAACATTCCCATAAACCCAAAACCTCGGAGCTGGCCGAAACTCTCTGAAAGTTTTTCGGCCCGCGAAATTTGGCGCGCCCGGATTTCCGATTCCGAGATTCTCTGACATCGCGCTGCGGCGGCGCCCAGCAGGTCCTCGCGCGCCCAGGGTGGGGGCCGTGGACATCGCGGGCCGCGACGGTCCCGACCGCGAGGTCCTTCCTCGTGCCCCTCGACGAGTACACGCTCATGGACGCGCTCTCTGCACTGAGCGTGGACCGCGCCATCCGCTGGTACTTCTGCGCGACGACAGCCAACTGGCCGCCGACGGACAAGGCGATTTTTCTCCGAGCTGCGCGTGCCACCAAAAACGTACAATAGCCCCGGGCTCGGGGAGAAACACTTTCGAAGCATTTTCAAGCCGCCAGCGCCGTGGCTGCCGACCCGCCGCGCGCCGACCGAGAGACTAGCTGGGCCCACTACGTCCACGGCGGCGGGCGGGCGCCCAAGAGAGCTGTCGCCACAGTGCGCGCGGCGGGGCGCCCGCCCAACTGCAACCGCAAATGCGGCCTCCATGGCGCCACAGGCGTAATATGTGTGACGCATTCTCGGCCCCCCATCGACGCATCGGCCAGCGCCCAAGTCCCTGAAACGCAAACCTACTGTGCCCCCCGTGCAAGCCGTGCACCCGCTCGCAATGCTCGTGCACACCAGATTGTATGCCCGCCCTCAACAGTTCAATTGAGCGCCCATGTGTTACTTGGGCTCCTCAAGCCCTCGAACACTCTTTGGGAACTTCTGCGAATGCGCGCGCTACGCTCCACAAATCGGCATTCTATTATTCTCTGGAACTTTCCCAGAATCTCTGGTTCCGATGTGTCCCGATCTTCCGCTCAACTGATGGTGGCCTCTTGCAGCTCTCGTAAGGGCATGCGCAAGCCCCAGAAGCGTATCGGAGGCGGAAGTGCGAGAAAACAGAAAATCATGGATTTCCCGTTGGTTCTTCAACGACTTGGCATCTCGAGGGCTTCCCTGGAACTCTTGGGAGACTCTTGGATGCCTCGTGGTCCGCTCTTGAGTGCTCCTGGAATCTTCCAGAGCTGTCGGGGGGCCGGCTTGGACAGAGATTTGCCAGAAATGGTAGCGGAGTGGGCAGAGCCCCAGGGCGAGGGGGTCTTTAATCATATGTATATATAGAGCTATATGTGTATATATGCATGTCTGTGTCTGTATGAAAATGTGATGGATACACATGTGTACATATATACAGATCATGCATGCATAGATGCATGTCTAATACATGTATCTATATATATATATACACACATATATATATAACTAGAACCACCGCGCGCTTCGCGAGCGCTTCGGTTCTAGCTGCTCGAGTGCTGACCGCATTGAGACAACAACACGGTTATGAATAATAAAGTCAACATTTTCTGCGTCCTCCTGCCTCGTCCTCATTATTCCTCCTCCGCTCTCATCGACGGGTCGACCGCCATGTTGCACTGTGCTATGACATGCCATGATACACCATGCGACGCTATAAAGCGCAATTTCACCATGCAGTACGCAATGCAATAACAGGATATCTTCTACAGGTTGAACTGCATAGCATGCCATGTCGTGCTGTGGAATACGATGATAACATATGGGATGATACGCTGAGCCATAGCATGCGATGCTTCCTACGAAGAATGATGTTACCGCGTTACATGGTATGCACAAACACGGCATGATGGGCTATGCAATGCAACGCAATACTATGCCATGTTAGCTGCTAGGCTAACATAAGCAAGACGACAATAATAACAACAACGGTGGTGTGATATTTGCATGCTTTCTGCTTACTGTTGAGAGAGCAGTACGGTGCTGCTCAAATAATATATGTGCATTGTAATGTCATAAGGTGCCACGATGTGTCATGAGATGCAATGCCATGCTAGGCAATGTTATGTCATGATGCGCAGTGCTAGGCTCAGCTAGACACTGCTATGGAATTCAATGCTATGACATGCTGAACCATACTGTGATATGCAATGACACGGTTAGCTCTGTCGTGCTGTGCCGTGCCATGTCATGTCATGCAACGCTGCGATGTCACGATAGGCCAGGCGGACCTTTGCTATGCACCCGTATGTTTTGGAGGCCCCTTGGGGGCCGTTTGGGGGGCTCTTGGGGTGTTTGGGGGGGCCTCTTCGGAACCTCGTGGGGCCTCTAGGGGGCCTGTGGGGGACCTCTTGCGCTCTGTTGTGGGCCTCGTGGGGCCCCCTGGAGGCCTCTTGGGGCGAAAGGTTCGAATTGTCGATTCGTGTTCCCCCTCTTGGGCCCCTTTTGGGGCCGTCTTGGGGCCCTATGGGGCGATCTTGGGCGCCTCTTGGGCTGCTTGGGGCACTCTTGGGCCGTCTTGGGACTCTCTTGCGCCGTCGTGGCGCCGTCTTTGGGTGCCTCATGGGCCGACTTGAGCTGATTTCTGGGGCCTCGTGGGCTGTCTTGGACCGTCGGAAGCACGAAACAGCGAGAACACGAAAAATCTTCAAAAATTTCGAAACACACACACACAAGTATATATAGATATATATATATATAACTATATATAACTATATATATATATATATATATATATATATACGTGTCCCGCCTCCTGAGTGCCTCGTGGGAGTCCTTTTTGAGGGCATCTTGGCCGTCTTGAAGCCCTCTTGGGCTGAAGCCGTGTTGGACCAATTTTGAAACGCTCGTAGGCAGTCTTGGGCTCTCTTGGGGCTCTCTTGGGTCATCTTGGCGCCTTCTCGGAGGTCTCTCGGCCCCCTTTGACGTTTCTTGGCGCCCCCCTGCCGGGCCCGAAACGGCCAGAAGACAAATCAGTGCACTTTGGGATCCCCGGGACTCCCTACCCATTATTTATGTATGTAAAGATATTGATGAACAACAATAGACCATCTCATGAAATATAATAGTACATTAGCCGTACTATGGTGTATCATAACGTACTAAAGAGCGGTATGATATAGTTCGTGTGTTATACATTGCATGTCATTAAGTTCTTCCATGCAACATTCGAGCATAGCATGTCATATTAGGTTGTAGTCTGCGTAATTATGTGTATAAATTACACAGACTGTGAAATATGCTATTGTATATCATCATGTAGCAGTGCGTACTGTAGTGCGCTGTAGTGTTGTATAGTATACTGCATCGTGTTACCGTGTTCTGTGTTGTATTATATCAGCTCGTACTATTTCCCAACTAATACATCATGACAAAAGAACTGCCTTTCTACTCCCCAGTAGATCACTACATTATCATGGTGAATATTGTGTTACGGCATTCCACCTAGCAAAATAATTACGCGATTCAATTGGATCACACGGTATTGACCTGTAGTATAACTCATAAACTGGTGCGGCCATTGGTGACACTCTGTTGTACCAGAATGGATGTTACTGTACTCAAGTCAAAAATATGTGAAAATAGATGATTGATCAGTTCAACATACATACACAAATATATGTGCATGTATGTGCTATATGTACATATGTGTACGTCAGGTTCGTGCCGTGATGACTTGGGCGTTGGTTCCTGACACCGCGTGGATCGCTCAACCTTGAACGTTCGGGGCTCCCAAAAAGCGCAGATCGTTCAAAGCTGGACGAATGACCGCTGCCAGCGTTCAACTTTGAACGCCCGCGACGCGGTCGTCGCCGAGTCGGCACGACACGAACCTACCGCAAATACTTGTCTTGTGCCCTCGGCCTGTAGAACGCCCGGACGCCTCCCTCCTTCCAGATCTGCCGGGCCACGCCCTGGACCGAGCGACGCGAGCGATCTGCCGCCACGGCCGCCCAGCTGGCACCCCCGAGCCGCGCAAGCGAAGGGGCCTCACGTACGACGGCATCTCTCCTGCGGGCAAGATTTGTATCCATATCTATTGCGTCTTGGAGTTTCGGGTTCCCTTCCCCAGAAAGCCGAGGCGCAATAGACATCGAAAAATATCTGGCCAATCGAGGCTAGATGTTTATCCACATCCACTGCGCCTCGGCCTTTGGCGCCCCTTCCCTGGAAGTCCAAGACGCAGTGGATATGGATATAAATCTTGCACGCAGAGCAAGGAACGGGGGGGGCAGCACCCCAGACCATCCATCCGACGACGCGTTTGTTGGATCACGGCGTGGCTCCCTGGAGACCTGGGCCCCTTCCCCCTGTGCCGGGCTTCGCTATCCTCCCGGGCTGCTGTGGCTGGCGCCCCGGCCCAGGGCCCGGCGAGTGCTCCCAGGGGCCGAGGCTTGCTGAGAACCCGCCGCCGTGAGGACCCCACGACGCGAGGATGTCGGTCAGCTCGCCATCGCTCGGACGTCCATTCCTCGTGTATTGTTCGATGTCGTGCGTGTTATTTTTTGGCCAAATGATCAAGGATGGTCCTCGATGGCCGTCGCCAAGATGCAAATGCACACGTCCGAGCGACGCCAAGTCGGGGCCCGGCCAGAACCGTCCTGGGCCTCGGCAGTCTGCGCGCCGCCTCTCAGGGAACGGGCCAGCCCTGGCGACGCGTGCCTGCGGTGGTGCATCGGCGCCTCCTTCGGGCACGCCTGGTGGAGGCGGGGGCGCTTGCGCGCGACCCTGGGCACAAAGAGATCCGTCGCTCCGAGGAGGAGGAGGAGGAGGAGGGAGGAGGAGAAGGAGGAAGGGAGCTAGGAGGAGGAGGGGAGCTAGGGGGAGGAGGAGGAGGAGGAGGAGGAGGAGGAGGAGGAGGAGGAGGAGGAGGAGGAGGAGGAGGAGGAGAGGGAGGAAGAGGAGGAGGAGGAGGAGGAGGAGGAGGAGGAGGCCCTGGGGTCTGCTTGGCTCCCCTGGAGCCGGCACCCCGCCCCTGCGCGCAGGCTGCAGGCGAGCCCGGCCGAGGGCACCGTCGGGGCAGGCCCCTGCCAGTCCGAGCGGACGGCCAGAGCCCGTCGGCGCTCGGCACGCCCCCTGCGGCTGTTCGGACTGGCGCCGCCGCGGGCCTCCGACGGCCTCGGAGAGGCTCGGGGGCCCCTCGAGGCCCTCCAGAAGGTAGCCTCGGACTGTCTGTGTCCGCAGGGCCTCCTCCTCAGCCATCCCTGCTCGGCACAAAAAGACCTCCTCCTGTCGCGGCACCGGACGCACCGTCAGGGCGGGCCGCGCGCTTCGCCTGAGCCATCCTCACTGTGCAAGGCCTCGCAGCCTGAAAGTCCCCACGACTTTCACGCATGGATGGCGAGTCGTTTCCAAAATGAGGCTCTCGCCTTGGTGCCGTGCACGCTCGTCGCGAAAATGTCCAACAGTTCAACGGATGGAGGGCGCATCGGTTTCAACAAAATGGGCTCTCACGTTGGCGCCAGGTACGGTCGTCTTTTCAACGAACCCAGCATTGAGAGGAATAGAGGGCGGCTCCTGCTCGAAACGAAGATCTCGCCCGAGACTTCCGCAACGAGTTCAAATCGAGGCATGAAAACTGTCCAACTGCTGCACGGGTGGAGGGCGGCTCCACTTCAAAACGGCGCTCTCGCGGGAGACCTCTCGACAAATCATGGCCATGAGTCTGACAACAATACGTGCAGCAATCACATGGATCGAAGGAGGCTCCTGCTCAAAGCGGGGCTACCGCGAAGTTCCCATCGTGCCGCATTCCTCATAGCTCGAAGGATTTGAGTGCAAGTCCTTCTCCAACGGATCTCCTGCCTGAATTGCAGGTGCATGATGCACTGCCTTTCATGAGAGTGCTGTAGGAAATTATGATTGTAAGGACTTGTGAGAAGGGGGCTCGTGACGGGAAGGTGCACTCTATCAGCATTGACACATGTAGGGTTTAGTATGGTTCTCCTCCTCCTCCTCCTCCTCATCCTCCTCCTCTTCCCAAGGAGCCCACGACCCGTACAACCCGTACAAGAATACGACCCGTCCGCGAGGCCAGCCTCCTGTTGCGAAAGATCGCGCCACTCATGACGTCCTCCGCCTTAATGCTTCAGACATGCGATGCCATGACTTCTGGGGGCATGGCACCCCCCGACCTCGACCCCGCCCCGGCGACAGTTTTTTCGCCGCGGCCAGCTTGATTGCCCCGAGGCCCGCCACGGACCTGCAGAGGCCGAAGACTCAGAACAGGCCCCGGGCGTCTCGAGTCCCGCACGACGGCTGCGATCCGACCCTGGAGATCTGTCCCGGGCGTGCGCTCCGCCTAATGAGCACTGAACGGAGGGTCCAAACGTAAAACATGATGGCCTAAGGGGCCTCCTCCCGGTCTGCCCGCTCGCTGGGCCCGCCCCACCCACGGCCCCTCGGGGTGCGGCGGGCCGGCCGTGGCTCTTGCACGCACTCGTCGGGCATGCACTGGATGCGGGTGGAGATCACGTCCACGGGCGCGGGAGCCCACCGGGGGGGGGCGCCCCGACAGCCAGCCAGGAGAGGAGGCAGGGCCGGGACGGAGCAGGGAGGGGAGGGGAGGGGGCCTGGTGGGCACGCTGCCGTCCCAGACCCCCGAAGCCGTGATCTCTTTGTCGCGACGTCGACCCACGGAGGTCTGGGCCCCTGCCCCGGACCAGCTTTCCTCCTGGGTCGCTGTTCGACCGTCCCCAGGCCTGGGAAAGGCCCCCAGAGGCCGAAAATAGCGAAAAAAACTCACGTGATTGTTTCACGACACGAGGGGGTGTGGGTCTGAGCTGGCATGAGGGGGAAGGGATGGAGGGAGGGGAGGGGAGGGGAGGTGGAGGGCCCAGCCGGATGCGCCTGGACAAGTCGCGTGAGGTGCCTGGCCCAGACAAACAAAAAATCACGACGTCGGGGGTCTGGGGAGAGAGGATGGGAAGGAGGGGGGGAGGGACTCGACGGACTCGGGCCTTACACGAGTGCTGTGCACGAGGACATACAGTATAGCTTGACTTCCTCCTGAGGACCTGGGCAGCCGACAGAAGTCTACAGGTCTGGAGGGCCCATTTGCTGGCAGTCTGGGGGGGGGTCAGGGGAAGCAGGGGAGGCGGCGGAGGGACGAGGGCGGAGGAGGGCATAGCAGCAGCCGCGCGCGGGCGGGCACCGCCGCGGCGCCCCCCTCCCGGCGGGCTCCCCAGCTGGGCATCACGGCGGCCCACGTCACCGCGCCGGTGGCGGCGCCCCCGCAGGCCTGCACCCACACGGGCCCCGCGGTCGGCGGGCTTCGGAGGTCGCCTCGAGGGGTCTGCGGGCTTCGGCGCCGGAGGCCTCGAGGTGAGCGACGGAAAGGAGCGGGTCTTACGCGAGATGGCATACAGTCCTGAAGGGGCCCTGGGACACACAAAAAAATACACACAAATAACAGGGTTCCCATATTTTCCCGTATTTTCTCGGTGTTTGTCTTCCCCCCCACTTCCCATATCTTCTCATATTTTCTGGGGACTCGACGATTAATTGTGTCTGTGTGTTTTTTTCTCTCCTGAAGTCCACCCGTACAATAAGAAGGACGAACGAAAAGGATGCAAGGGCCTTGGGAGGCCCTGCCGACACTCTGCGAGCGGGGCGCGGCCAGCGAGAACGGCCAAGGATGGGCCGAAGGGGGAGGATATGCGAGAGTAACCCTGGAAAGTCGCTCCTCCTCTCTATTCGGGCTGAATGAAGCGACCTTGCTCGGTGATTCACGCGGGCCGCCATCGCGGCCCGCCGCAGTGGAAGGGAGGGCGCCCACGTGCGGCCATGCGCGGGCAGCTCACGCGCCAGTGTCCGCGAAGACGGCACCGTGTTTCTGCGTCGCTCCGACAGGCCTCGGAACAAATTAGCGAACACATGCCACATTCATCCATCAACGCCTCCCCCTTCCCCCAATGTTCAAAGTTGGCGGTGGGTCTGATGAGATGCACTTCGACCGCAGTCTCCCCCACGCGTGCCAACGTTGAGTTTGGGGGGGAAGGGGGGTGTTCAATAATTGTTTCCCTCTACCGGATGGCTCTAAGATCTCCCAAAAGAAGCCCCAAGGAGGGCCCGGCAGAGCCCCAAGAAGGCCCCAGGTCACCAGCCTCGGACTCATCCGTGTCCCTAAGATCGGCAGGCCCAACACGATGACAAGATTAAGGATGTACTCTCAGAAACTGAGGGAAGCCGTAAGTTCAGAGGTAAGGTGATGCCAAACATATGGATAAGGATATGCTTCAAACTGGTAATCTGCATCGTTCAGATGGCATTCAGGTTGGGGAAACAACAAAACAATACCGCTACTCCCCGGACCTCTCCTGTTTGCATTCTGACACGGATTTCGAGGCAAATCCAGCGGTGGCGACGAGGGCATCCCAGGAGGCCCAAGAAGGCGAGAAATAGGGAAGGGCAGCGGTATGGGTACCTGTTCCTCCTCTGACTTTCTGCGTCGCTCAGATGGCTCTAAGATCGCCCAAAAGCAGCCACAAAAGCAAGTAACACCCAAGAAGTGAACTGCTGCGACCCTGTGGATAGTATTAAGACAAACACCGAAGAAGTGAACTGCCGCGCCTCTGTGGAAAGCTGCTCAGGGTCTTCTGTCGCAAGGTTGACATTTGCTGCCTGTTCGCCTTGTCGCTTCCGATCGGCTTTGGAGGCCTCAAGATGGCTCTAAGATCGCCTGAGAGAGCCCCAAGACGGCCCAGCAGATCTCTAAGACGGTCCCAAGAGTCCGAAGAGCGCCCCAAGAGGGCCCCAAGATATAATTGTCCAGCTTCGGACGAGAGGCGGAAGTAAGAACCCCCTCTTCTTTGATCGGTGGGCTCCGAGAGGCCACGAGAGGACTCAAAGAGACCCCCAGTGGACCCCTGAAGGCCTCCAAAATCGCCCCAAGAGGGCCCCAAGATGGCCCAAGTCGGGCAAAGAGGCTGCCATATCGAGAGATCCTCGAAGGTATGTGTACGGCTGATCCCAATGTTCGGCTCGACGGCTACGCCCCTCTGCCGATACACTGCATGCTCCCACACTTCCCTGATCGTTCCTGGATGTGCTGGTGGGAGAGCGGGAACTTTGGCGGCGCGCACAGGGGGATGGA